GCAGGCGCCTCGCGCGTCAAGGCAAGAGGGATTTGACGGTGGGGGTCTATTACAGACCCCCCAGTCAAGAAGAGAAGCTGGACAGGGAATTTTCAGGCCAGCTTGCGGAGACACTAAAAGCAAGGGATGTAGTTGTCATGGGCGATTTTAATTACCCGGACATCTGCTGGGAGGATCTCAGTATGAGACTCTGGTGCTTGTGAGTGGTATTGTCCTGCTCCTCATCCTTTCTTCCATTACACTAGCCTCTTGTGCCTTTATCTTCTTTAGGGTCCTGAGGATGAACTCAAGCAGAGGACAGCAGAAAGCTCTGGCCACCTGGTCCTCCCACCTGGTTGTGGTTTGCATGTTTTATGGGGCAGCCATCTTCATGTACATGAGACCCAGCTCCTAGCACTCACCAGCACAAGCAAGATTGTGTCTCTCTTTTGCACCATTGCCACCCCAGTACTCAATCCACTCATCTACAGCCTGAGAAACAGGGATTTCTTAGGAGCCCTAAGAAAGCTGATTGGGAAATGCAGAATCTTCCAGCAAAATTGACAGAAAATGTCATTTCTCATGAGCTAAGTCTCACTAAAATGAGAAGTTAAGAACATTTAAAAGTGAGAAAACTGGAACATTTAGAAGGAAGTTAAATTATTTTAATCACTTAACAGTTAATCTCCTTCTGAGAATCACGGGAGGTTGGACTCCTAAATGCTTCGAAAAACGGTTTGACGAAGTCCACCCCGCTCTCCCAGCTCTCTAGTGTTCTCCTGTTACAGGAAATTTAACCAAATTATTGCATACATGAAGACTTTATGGGGGATTGATACTCTGTGGTTCCCTTATACTGACCCTCTGCAGAAGGCCCAAACCCTCCTGCAGGAAATACATCTAGTGGCACGGCAACAAAAATTATCCAGGCGCTGTGAACCAAGACTTATATGGAAAGGTTTATGTTACTGGGTGTATTTAGCCTGAAGAAGAAAAGACGGCGAGGAGGCTTCAATAACAGTCTTCAGATACCTGAACGGTGATCTAGAAATTATAGAAATTATAGAAATGGGCTTTTCTCTTTACCTATTGAGGACCAGACTAGGAAAAATGGCCTCAAGCTGCAGCCGGGGAACTTTAGACTGGAGATTATGGGGAACTAGCTGATTTTGGGCCTGGCTGGGCATTGGAACAGATGACCTAGAAAAGCTGAGGAGTCTCCATGCTTGGAAATGTTCAAGAGCAGGTGAGATGGACACTTGCCTGGGGAGACTTGGTTAGGAATGATCCTGCTTGAAGGAGGAAGCTGGACTAGATGTAACCTTGTGAGGTCCCTTCCACGCCTACTTGTCTATGATCCTATGAGTCTAAGTGCTTAGATGCAGGTCTTTGAAACAACTGCTTTTAAGAGCGAAGCGCTGTACTTCAGGGTTGATTCTTGTCTCAGCTGTTTGTTCACCACTTTCACTCCATTGAGGCCAATGGTGCAACACGTGGTTTTTACAGGAGAAAAGAAAAGCTATGTTTTAATCTAACCTTTTCTCTTTAGCAACCTTACTAATGAAAAACAGCTGTTCCCCAAGTATCTCTCTAAGGCTTTTGTAAAATAAATTGATCAGATTTATGCAAGATATCAGAGAAAAGGGCAATGGGGAGAAACAAGAAACTCCCTAGCTTTATGGGGAACTCCCTACTTGAGAGCACGGAGGCGGAAAGGGATCTTGGTGTCATTATTGACTCCAAGATGAACATGGGCCGACAATGCGAGGTCATGGTTGGCAGGGCTAACAGGACTTTGTCGTGCATCCACAGGTGCATCTCGAGTAGAGCCAGGGAGGTGATCCTCCCCCTCTATGCGACGCTGGTCAGGCCGCAGCTGGAGTATTGTGTCCAGTTCTGTGCGCCCCATTTCAGGAGGGATGTGGACAACATGGAGAGGGTCCAGAGGAGGGCCACCCGCATGATCCGGGGACAACAGGGCAGACCCTACAGTGAGAGACTGCGGGACCTGAACCTATTCAGCCTCCACAAGAGAAGGCTGAGGGGGGACCTGGTGACCGTCTATAAACTCACTAGGGGGAACCAGAAGGGTTGGGGGGAGACGCTGTTTCCCCTAGCCCCCGCTGGCATAACAAGGAGTAATGGGCACAAGTTGATGGAGAGCAGGTACAGATTGGACATCCGGAAAAACTACTTCACAGTTAGGGCGGCTAGGAGCTGGAACCAACTTCCAAGGGAGGTGGTGCTGGCCCCTACCCTGGGGATCTTTAAGAAGTTTTTTGGGTTGTTCTCCCGCCCTGGCGGGGGGTCGGGCTAGAAGATCTATTAGGTCCCTTCCGACCCTGAAACTATGAAACTATGAATATAGTATAACATGGGGTTTCCAATGAAACCACAGATACCATATCAATACAACAAAACAAAACAACATTCCTGACAGCCCACAAACCTCCATAATGGGTTTTGTGATCATGTGTGCACATCTACATGTGCCCAGGACCATGCATTTGGTACTGGGCAATCATTTGGTACTTGCATTGGTACTTGCTTTAGGTCTGCAAATGACTGCGAACTACCTACGGATACTGCACAGTCCCGGCGGCTCATGGTTATTTTTAGATGCTATGTTGCCATAGCGATGAGCTATGTTATAGTTTGTGCCTGCCGATGCTACAGCTACATGGCATCTCATGTAGATGCGCCTAGTATGTACTAATCATATAGCTACAGGTTGCATTTTTTTTTAAACACACAAAGACTTGTATCAAGGCTAAGAGTTCCCAGGGGAAGGGGTGAAGGGGTAGATTGGGAAAACAGGAAATTAAAAAGAAAATGAATTTATTTAAAATCAGAGTTTTTGCAAAGATAATATGAAAAAAGTGATCTCTGTGCAATTCCCCCCTGGAATCACTGACCAAAAACACCTACCAGTACTGTATGATAAATTGTCTACAATCCACAAGAAACTGATTTTCAACTTTTGCTTGTGAACTCTTGTGGGAGGCTGTAGTTAATTTAAGTTTAAGTACAGCAAAAGTCTTAAAATCCATACCTATTCATTAAAGCATTTAAACACAGGCATGTTTTGGAGCAGTTTGTTAAACAGAGGGGCTCAAATGAGTCCATAATAACAACAAATTTATTTCAGAAAGATCATAATATCTGTCTCTGAAAACATGTCAGCATAAAACTTTTCCAGATACCTTTATATAATTTGCACTGGCTTAACAAAACCCCACCTTCAGAAGACTTCTCTGTCTTAAAACTGAGACTGACTGCTTTAGAAATGAATTTGTTAAATTTTCAAATAACTACTGTTAGTCAATTACAATGATGTAATGATAAAAAAAAAACCCTCACCCTTTTCAATTTGGCAGCGGCATCACCAGAGCGTATTGCAGCCAGCACACACTGGTGAATCTGTTCTGGGTCAGGGTGTTGGATTGATAAAGCAGCTTGCTTCTTAAAAGTAGCAGTAGGGTGGTCAGTTGAACGTTGAACCTGCCTGTTCTGATCATTGTCTGCAAAGCTAATTTTCTATGAACCAAAAAAAAACCAAACCAACTGTTAGGTCATGAGTGGCAATAGGAAGCAGTCTGGCTAAATATTATATACAACACACTGTATACTTTACATACAATGTTCTACTATCATTCTAAAGTTTTGCTTCATTCATTAAAGACAACTGCTACTTATATATTTGCATCTTACAAGTTGTGTATGGGGGCATATACCCCCAAACTGATAATGCCATAAATGACTCATGAATTTTCAAAACAAAATTTGGAAGTCAAAAGGATTCAAGGAAAGAGTTAAAAGAGGACACTTTCTCAACACATTTTTAGAAGTTATGAATTTTCCCCTTATTGTTATTTATGTAGCTTAATTAATGTGAAAAATTTTCCCACACATGTAAACTACAGAAACCTAATTTTCCTGCTCGTTTGCCTGCAAGCCCATTACAGGGTCTTAGAGAGTTTTGGGAAACAGGCAGCTTCTTCTGTACCACAGGATGAAGAGGGTAACCAAATCATTCACGTTTAGGTTTCAGGGGTTTGGACTCCCTTCCAGCCCCAATTTTCTGTGGTTTACATGTGTATTCTAAAACTCAGTATATGAATTAATATGGATGCCAGCATGGCTAAGATTGGGCCTGCCCACAGTCCTAAACTGCCCTTTTACTCTCTTGGACCTCAGCTTTCACTTTAAAAATAAAAAAAAAAAACTTTAAAATATGAACTGAAAACTGATTCAATGGTGTCAGCCTGAATTTGAAAGGCACAAAAATTAATTCACATGGCCTTGACAGAATACAACCCTTAATAAAAAATAAATCATATGGTTCAATGATGATATTTTAGATAAACAGGGGGCCAGTCTTTTTGGCACGTGTACTACAAACTAGGCATTCACCCTCTCCTAGTGCCACTGCAATCCTAAAGTCTTGTCCAAACTGCTGCCCTGTCCTGTCCCTGCCCAATCTGCTGCTCTGCTGCCTGTCCCCTCCCTAATTTGCTATGTGCAACAGAGTCTTGTCATGCCCCAGGTTGGCCACAACTGCTTTAGGTGACAATTTGAACTAGGGGTGTAGCAATAAAGATTTTATTGGCCCCCATGGTAAGGGAGGGGGTGGGACTGGGGCACGCACTGCCCAGCTGGGGTGGGGAGGAGCATAGGACGGAGCTGCGGGTGGTTCATCTGCAGGGGACAGGGGGGTGGGAGGCAGCTCCCCACCACTGCGCACACCCCCATGTCCCTTCCCCACCACAGACTTACCAGCCGATTGCTGTTCTTCAAGCTAATGGGCTGCATTCCTGGCTACATGCATGCTGCCGCTGCGCACATGCATACAGCATTTATTGGTAACATTATTGGCTACCCAGCCAAAAAAAGCTGATTGCTGATAATGTCAGTTTTCCTTTTATCGGTGCCAATCCAATATGGACCGATATATCAGCACACCTCTAATTTTAACTACATTACTTATTAACGCACGTATTAAAAGAAAATATATTAAGATCTATACAATGCACTGTGCAACAGCTCACTTGGGGGCCACATTGATAAAGAGCCACTATCTGGCTGCCCCCAAATCAAGAAGCACCAAAGCTGGATATCTGATCCCTAATAAGAAGGAGGCAAGACCAAAGGAGTTCATATGGACATTTGACCTCTATGAAACATAAGGTCTATATAACACCACCCTAAAACGGAGTCAAGCATAATCATATTTTGAATCCACTGTGCATGCATTTCTGGGATTAGCATCTCAGTTCAGTGTCCATAACAAATGGAAATTATGATTCCTGTCAGGACAATGTAAATGACTTGTGCAAGACAACACAAGGAAATCAATCAGCTTCCTTAGGATTTATGTATACTTTTTAGCTTCCTTCGGGTTTTACTGTTTGGGCTACCTCAGTATTGGAGATGCAGTTTAGACCAGCAAAACCAGCTATCTGGATGCAATAACTAACACCACCCAAAGGATATTTTTGCCTGTATAATTTCATTTGTGCTAGAGGTTTTACTGGCAAACCTCTGTTGGTTGGAGGTGAGATTTTTCAAACTCCTCACAGTTTTGGACCAAAAAAAGCTTATACTTATGAAGGCAACTTATGAAATAAACCAAGGCTTAAACACATGCCATTTTCACTCAACTGTGATTTGGGTGGGACCAAAGAGTTTACGTCATTAAAAAAAATTTTATGGGTAGAATTTGAAATCCTTTATTAAACATATGAAAAACATTCTTTTTGATCCATGTGTATCTTTTAATATTTTTGCTTAAAAGTTTGAGAATTTACTCTAAGATTTGAAAGTAGACAAATTTTACGTTAAGTGCTGTACAAGAAAATCTTGCTTTCAAATTCCCAAAAATATTGTACATGCTACTGCTGTACCATAAGGACACATGATCTAACAGTATGCTAACATCAATGCCTGCCAAAAGTCTAAACTGTTTTAGGAAGGGAAAAAGTGAGTCTTACCTCTATCATGAGATATGTTACAGATGTTAAAAAAGAGAAAGCGCGCCGTAAAGTTTACCTTATCCATAATAAGGACTTGTGAATCTCCTATTGAATTCTGTAGAGAATGGTTCTTCTTAACTTCAGCTGTGAAAGTTGCAGAGGAAAGTTCGACAGGAGATTCCTCTTTTGACAGCTGACTGGTGACAGGGCGTGGTTTATTAAATGACTGCGATCTTCTGACTGCTGATGAGACGGCAAGAGCAAAAGGGGACGGCCTAGCATTGGAGTATGGCTTTGGAACAGCAAAAGTTCTCAGAGATTTTAAGTTCAATGTGGCTGGCTGACAGGAAGAAAAACTCAAAGGTTTAAATGTTTTAAGAGGTGAAATGCAATGTTCTTCAGTTTTTTTATCATCACTTTTTCCTGCATCTGATTGGGAAGGGAAGTTGTTTGTTTTATTTGAAGGGAGACTAGTTTGATCTGGTGATGGATTTTTTTCCGCCTCTGTACTCTTAGACTCATTTTGAGTAGAACTACAAGCAGCACTGGCACTTCTGGCAACTGCAGATGTGACGTAATGGCTTGAAGCCCTTTTTTGCATCTGTAAGTAAAAAGAAGTAGGTTTTGTTGTAGGACTTAGTGCATTTGATTTTTCTAAAGTCTCAGGAGAAGTATTTGAATTATCCGAGTTCACCATCAACTGAACTCTGCCACTGCTTATAGGAGACCTGTAAGCCTTTGTTTCTGTTTGCTTGCTTTCAGTAGTAATCCCAAATTGAGAGGTTATAACACAGTCAGGGATGCTGCTACTTTCACACAGCTGATCATTTCCTGCCAATACAGCTTCATATTTTAAACCAGATGCTGAAGTTTTTAAAACACAAGGAGTTTCTGTTTGCACTCCAAATTCTTTTGAGCTCTCACACTTAGTGGGGGTACCCAAAGCAACTCCTTCCTGATCTTTAGTATCTGACATGGTCTCTGACTCCAAACTCTTCAATATTTCCAAGGATTTTGGAGGCACTATTTTATAGGTAGTCATTCCAATTTTGGGTATATAGTCTCTTGTAATTTCATTAGATGGCTTTGGTTTGGGTTTGAAGCCTTGTCTATAAAGTGGATAGGAGTTTGTAGGAGAACCAACTGAACTGTCTGCATCTCTCTCTGAAGAGACAAGGCAACTATCATTCACATGTACATTACTCTGAGATTTTATGGAAAGTGTTTTGTCACGCATAACTTCTGGTTTCTGACAAGTTATTTCTGTTGAAGTGTGTACAGTCTTTTCCATTTCTGCAGCTGATATACAGGGTGTACTGTCTATATCCAAATTCTGCTCATCAGCTGCTCTTTTGAAGGAAGAGGAGTTATCTTGATGAAGATTCATTTCTGTTATTGTCCTGCCAAAACTACTATCAAATGGAGTTGTCTGAATTGCAACATCCTGAGTTTTCACTATGTCCAAGTTGGCTTGATTCAGCTTCTGATCTTGTATTCCTAAAATCATTTGATTATATTCATGATTTATACAGACATCATTATGTGCATGGCAGTTTGATAGTCTGCCAACTTCAAGTTTTTTATTTTCTCCAACATCGAATGTATTAATTTCTCCCATTTGAAGTTTGTTTTCTACTGTGGTTGTTGGAAGAAGTCTTATATCAATGTGCTCTTCATATTAAAAAAGAGAAGAAGAAGATTATTTTGGAATGAATACATTTTTTAACAGCCTGAACTTATGTTTAAATCATTAAGCCCCATATCCTAATTTACTCCGAGAAATAGTTCCTCAGTATTATTAAAATTTTCCTTCACTACCCACCTTCCAATGATTAAAATATATTTTTCCCCTTGATTAGGCCTGGTTAAATTTATCAATTTCTATTAAAAGAAAAAAAAAATCTTAGCTATGCTACGCAGTGAGACTGTTAAGTGTCATAAATACACCAGACAAAAGTCTGTTTTTCAGATTGTTTGAAAAAGTGCTAGTGATTTTCTGCACAAGAGAAAGCATCTGGTTCACAACATGTAAACACTATTCAAACATATATCCTGTAAATCTGGTTTAACTCCAGCAAAATTGCAAGAACTATTTGTTTGCTTTGTCGTCTTTTTTTTTTTTTAATGTTCCTGTTCACATCAAAAGGTGCAATTTGTTAAATGTACCTACTATATCCGAGTAATGAAGCAGTTATACAATGACTGGACATTAGCATTACTGCCAAGTCAGCTTTCCAGGCATTTAATAATCAGGCATGTCTAAAAATCTGGGATCTGGCTTACATCTGAACTTTTCCAGATTTCAAAGATGCCCATGTCTGAAATTTTGGTTCAGTCAACATTAAGCAAATTTCAGTTGAAACTAAAGTTTTCAAAGCCTTAGTTCAAGGGAACAAACAAGTTTCTTCCATTTTCTGTCTCATATTGGCCCACGTTAATATAAATAGTCTATGAATTAATAAAAACTCTCCAATTAACACTTGGAGCTTTTAAATTGCTACTATTAAAGGTAATATATTTTTGTAGTTAGTTAACTGTCATATAGATTAAGCAGCAGATTAAGTCATAGAATCACAAAATCCATGGGGAAAAAGATCATCCATTTTTAGAACTGGCTGGAAAATTCCAGCAAAATCCGCATTTCAATTATTGGCACTATTCAGCTTACCTTATTTTCTTGCATACCACACATGCCCAATTAGGCATGGACCTTATTTTGGGAAGGAAAAATGAAATAAAAAGATTGTTTCCAGAATCTTACCTGTCACAGCACAGAGTCACCATAGCTGAACCCTGGCCATATGGAGGAGAAAAACTGAACCAAAAGCTATGCTAATTCAGCAGTAGCTGTGAAAGGGTTAAAACTGTAGCTGTTGATGGGTTGATATGTTAAATTTTTGGAACACTGTTTTCTTATATGTGGAATAATTTTTAAAAGGGTCAGTATACTACTATAGTTAAGCACACATGCATAGTTCACTTTTAAGTCGCTTCTATTATTCTGCTCCAATTTACAGCTAGTGTAGATCAGTGATATGATTTTTAATATGAAAGGCAATTATGAAATATTTTTCCCTTTACAAACAATGATAATTATCTTAAACTTTAGTTGAAGTGTAAGAAACATGTAGGAATTACTCACTATCATTTTTATTTTGATCCAGTATTTCCAACTCTCTGTCATTTTCAAACGTAACCTGCAGACTGCCAATCTTACTCTGTGGTTTGCTGCAAAAAAACATTGTATTATATATATTGATCTCTCTCATTTCAGTAAACAAAAAAAAAGATGCAAGAGAACTGGCAATATTCTCTAAAGACAGATGGACAAAAATTTTCAAAGCTTTCTGCCAAACACTGGAAAATTCAACAGGAGTGATTAAAAATTGAGAGGAAATGCTTTACATACCACAGAACACATGTAGCCTCATTTTTAGTGAAGCACTGTGTGAACCTATCCCTCATACTTCCCACCCTCCTAATTCATAAGCTCTGAAAAATGCTTCATTATTAGGTTACAATGTCCACTGAGATCCCTTAGGTGTTCTGCATCCCACAGGATTGAACTCAAAATGCTCATTCTTCTGTTGATGTACCAAACATACTAGTAGGTATACTGAACGCAGAATAGATCACTCTAAATACATCTGGTTTAATGCTCTCCCTCTATGGCACCCACTTCTGCCACTTTTGGGGACTGGATAGATGACCCTGTATAGCATGTCTTATGTTCTTATGTTTAAACATTTGCACTATTCCTGGATGTTGGCCACTACAAGATATATTGAGTATGCTGCTCTAGAGAAAAACTGAACCAGAATCATATTTTTAGATTTATGTTATGTATACACATACCACTAAATTATATAGTAATGAATTTTGTAGTGCATATTTCTAATTAAGTTCTAATTAATTAGATTTCCCGATTTAAACCTTACTTTGATATATAAATTCCTTCAAGCAGTTTCAATAATGACAGAAAGAGGATTCCCACCTCAAACTTAAAGCATTGGCACCTGAGAACTGAGCTGAGAAATATGTTTAATCTAGACTATAAATTAATCAGGGAAGGATCCTGTATGTTCTATTGCCTGGACAGCACCAAGGGCAGTGCTAGTAAGAAATAAAAAGCATAAAGCAGCTTGGTGAAGACAAAAGCTTTCATATTAACTTGATTTTTTTTTTTTTTTTTTTGCTGTCCAACTGGATCAAACCACAAACGTTCACAGCAAGCTGAAGTGTGAGAATAACTGATAGAACTTTAATTTATAAAAGTTGTTTTCTCCCAAAAGACATATAGAAAATACTTATGGAATACTACTGCACTGTAGAGGCTCCGGGGGGGGGGGGGGGGGGGGGGGGGGGCAGGAGGAGATTACTAAAAACGTAATTGAAAAACTTTATTTCAAAGGTCCTAAGCCTCCATCTGGCCTCTCTCTCTCGGCATTGTTTTGTCAGTGAAACAGGGCTAGAAAACTGCACTGTTAGGACTACTAGTTATTCCACATAGGAGGACACATGGTTCAGTTGCATTGTACTCCAAATGATGCCTATTTTTTGCAATGAATAAATTAGGCGACTCTGGCATTGATGCCTACACAGTTGGATGGGTAAAAAATTGGCTGATGGGGCACACCCAGAGAGTAGTGGTGGACGGGTCGTACTCAACCTGGTGAAATGTGAGCAGTGGGGTACCCTAGGGCTCGGTCCTCAGGCCCACACTGTTTAACATCTTCATCAGCGACTTGGACAAGGGGGTTGAAAGCACGTTGTCCGAGTTTGCTGATGACACTAAGATGTGGGGCGAGGTGGACACACTTGAAGGGAGAGAAAGGCTGCAACTAGATTTAGACAGACTACAAAAGTGGGCAGACAAGAATAGGATGGGGTTCAACGTAGACAAATGCAGGGTGCTGCACCTTGGGAGAAGGAATCCACAGCATACATACAGGCTGGGGAGTTCCCCTCTTGAAAGCACAGAGGCAGAAAGGGATCTTGGAGTCATTATTGACTCCAAGATGAACATGAGTTGCCAATGCCAGATCGCAGCCAGCAAGGCCAGCCATACCTTGTCATGCATCTAAAGATGCATCTCAAGCCAGTTCAGAGAGGTGATACTCTCCCTCTATGCGACATTAGTCAGGCCGCAGTTGGAGTACTACATCCAGTACTGGGCGCCGCACTTCAAAAGGGATGTGGCCAGCCTGGAGAGAGTTCAGAGGAGGGCCACCTATTTGATGGGAGGGCAGCAGGACAGGCCCTATGAGGAGAGACTGAGGGGGCTGAACAGGTTCAGCCTCGACAAGCGGAGACTATGGGGGGACCTGATGGCCACCTACAAACTCATCAGGGGAGATCAACAGCAAATAGGAAGAGCCTTATTCTCCCCAGCACCACCTGGGGTGATGAGGAACAATGGTAATAAGGTAATGGAGAATAGGTTTAGGTTAGAGATCAGGAGGCAATATTTTACAGTTAGGGTGACCAGAATCTGGAACTGACTTCCTAGGGAAGTGGTCCTCGCCCCTACCTTGGGTAACTCAAAAAGAGGTTAGATGGTCACCTGCCTGGGGTCTTGTGAAACCAGCATTCATTCCTGCCTGCAGCAGGGGGTCAGGCTAGATGATCTGTTCAGGTCCCTCCTGACCCTAGCTACTGTGAAACTATGACCAGGGAATCCTGGTTTTCTTGGATTAAAAAAAATCCCCAATTTTTGGATTTAAAAAAGTAACCCAAAATCCACATTTTAATTTTAAATCACAGAAACAAGATTATTGTACTGCAGTTCATCAGTATTATGCAAAATGGAAACTCTTTTTTGTTAATGAAAAAGATGTATACACTAGGTAAATCTGAAGAGCTGCCTGTTTTTTTAATACATTTAACTAATTAGCTGGCTATCTGCACTAAAAGAGTAGTGCACTGAGAATTAATCCCATGCTCCACTCTTAGAAGTCTCTATTCTGTTCTGTTCTTTTGCAGTGAAACAACACTCAGCATTTTGTTTATTTGTCCTCCACCCTCCCTCTTTCTTTCTGACAGAGTACTTACTTGCCATCTGTGCTCATATTTTCTTGTTTTTCTTCCTTGGAGATTTGAGAGTTATCTATAGAAGCACTGCCAGAAATTGAAGCTGATGAAGCAGGATCCTTTTTTTCAGTATCTAGTGGTACATCTCCATCAGTAGCGATGAAGGAGCCAGTAACCTCTTGCATCCTAGGAAAGGCATCTGCGCTTTCACTTTCCTTTTTGTACAAACTCATCTCTTCCTTTTCATCAATCTCATCCAGGCTATATTCAGGGCCAAGTCCAGCTGTACTCAAAGTAAACAAAATCACAGCACTCCGTGTAAATGTTAAGGGACAAAAAGTCAGATGGAATGGCTAGAATTGAGAGAGAAAAGTGAGAAACATTTTCTTCAAAATGTAGACAGGATGTTAAATGAAAAATTGATTTGATGTTTAAAAATTTTAAGGGTTTATGTAGTCCTCTCACTCGCATAGTCATAACAATAGGATGAATCCAATAACTGTTGTACAAATTGCTTTAAGCTTGTAACCCCTGTGCAGAAATTCAATTGGTAAATATGGAAAACAGGATTATTTAAAAAATAAATAAATAAATAAATAATAATAATAATTATTATTATTATTATTATAAACAAAAAAATTGGTAGTATTTGGGAATGCACTTTTCTAGAAAGGACAGAGAGATCTGGTAAGCATAATATAACTATTTTTAAAGCTGAATACGGAATTAAGTGATTTACCAGAAAATGTGTAGTTTTTCAGAACAAAACCAATGTGTCAGGTAATACAGAACAAAATTAACCCTAATCAAATCAACAAGATATTTGCCACTCATATGAAAGGCATCTTGCCTACCATTAACAAGGCTTTGCTACAATACTTTAAGTGTATCAAAATGTAGCTAACAAAAATGCTGGAGATGCATAATGTTAGGTAGTTACAAATTATAAATAGAATTCAACAATATAATATTACATGATGTTAAGTTTAACTACCTTAATGCTTTACTTCAACTAAAGTGAAATAAATTAACTGGCTCTACTGGAAGAGTGGACAGCCTTGGTAATGTGACTATATAACGAATGGTACCAGAGCTAGTTTAGGTATCTCTGAATGGGACACACTTACACCATGTCTATTTTTGTTCCAGAGTTATTTCCACAGAAGGCCTCCCTCATAATAATAGACAAACAAACCGTCTTTATTCCAAAATTTTCTGAAAGAGCTTTTCAGTTAATTTGCATGTGAAGATAAAAGAATAAGAACAGTGACCAAATAGCATCTGCAATTAAGTAAAATGTGAACTGTGCTAGAAATGCAGGTCAAAGAATGTTTGTTAAAGATGAAGAGAAATCACAAATTTCTCTTTTTCTATAAGCAGTCTTCCTAGGATACAGGATGAATAGCTTGCATCTAGTATTATTAGAGAAGTGTAAAATATTACACAGGTGTGGAAAGGTTAAGCCTACAATAAGAGTTTAAGTTGACCCCTAGGATAAATTCAAAAGTAGAAGTAGCAAGTATAAAACTAATAGTAAACGCTTATCTCATATCAAATAGTCATTGTAGCAGTGACTCAGTCTGGGTAATCACAGGGGTCACAGAGCCACATGAAGGAGTTCTAGTATATCACCAATACATTAGTGCCTTATAATCACACATTAAGCTGTGTGACACCTGTGACATCTTCTCTTGGCAGGGAGAATTGGGTATATGGTATAGAAGTTTTTTCTGGTAAAGAATTTTGTAGTACACCCCCCCACTCTCTCCCTCCCCCTCCCACCCCCCACACACAAGCATTACAGAAGGCACGGTCAAAGAACTGTACTTTGCATACATTATTGAATGCAACCAAATGTAGGATGAAATTGAGGTCTAGTAGGAGTTTGTTCTGCAGTCGTGAAACAATTTCCTAGGCAGCTGTCTCTTGCAGCCATGAATTTCAACTCTGGGTTTAAAAAGGCCTATTGTGCATCTTTATCATAGTTTTAAGTGATCTTTTACAGGTAGGTTAGCATGTGTCAAGATGTGATAGAGACTCCTGGCTAATCAAAATGAGCAGAAAGCTTTATTTGCTGATGTTGCCATGTGAGAATACAGTATCAAAGAATAATCCAAGAACACTCCTGAATTATGTGCAGACTCGATCAATTATGGATGTGTACCCCCAACCAACACCACCCCATTATAGTTGCCAACATTTCAAAATGGGTCTCTTTGCTCACCAGCATAACCTCTGCCTTGCCTGGATCCCAGCTTCAAATAGCAGTTTTTCATGGCAGTAGTAATATAGGTATATAAAGAGAACGATGAACAGGGATCCTAGTTTTCTCAGATAAAATCCCTGGTTTTTGGATTTAAAAAGTAATCCAAAATTCACATGTTTTCTGTCATTAAAATGAAACGTGACTTATATATGAATGGGAAATCCTTACAACTAGGCAGGATGCTGTAAAGACTGCTTCCCCATTCAAAGCAGTGTAAACATTTGGGATGCCAGTCCTGAATGTGGTTTCAATGATGCCAAAGTATACCACTTTCTTATTACACTGTGTCACATCTGCATGAATAAGAAGCTTCTTGTCATGATATCACCACCTCCACCATGGATTTTTTGTCTCTCGCTCTGGCATTTCATTTTAAATCACAGAAAAACACGGATTTTTGGTTACTTTTTAAATCCAAATATTGGGGATTTGTTTTAATCAAAGAAAACCAGGATCCCTGATGATGAATTACCATCAATATCCAAATCATGTATTCTTCAGTACATCCATGTAGTACTATTGGCTGGAACGTCAGTTCAGCTTTTCTGACTTTTCCCCTCTCAAATACCTCACTTTGTAGGTTTGTTTTTGACAAGTAATAATTGAGAGAGTGCATTCCTACACAATTAAAAACAAAAACCCTGTTTCTATCTCATGCAAGTTGAGTACACATGCACACACAATTAGATAAACCTGGCTTACAGTTGTTTTTTCTGTTCATTAAGGCTCTCTGGAAAACAGGACAGATGAAATGGATTTGTACGTGTGTATATTAGTCACTAGAACAAATATTAGCCCATGATGTTTTGACAAATGTTCCTTTCCAGCTGGCAACAGTGAGCGAACATCAACTTGAATTTCTAGTTGGAAGATCAATAAATCTAAAAGGTAAATCTGCTTTAATGACATTACAGTCAAGTGGATCAATAAGAGTATAATTACACAGTAGATAATAATAAAACACCTCTTCCCTGTATGTCATCTTAGAAACAGAGAGCCTGATGCATTTCTCTTCATTCACCCATTAAAATTTATCATGGAAATCCTTTTCAGTCCATTGGCTATTGATCTAATACCTAAAAGACCTTAAAATGTCTTCTTGGAAACTATTTTACAAAAGTCAGAGGGTTTTTTTCTGTTTGTTTGGAGTTTTACTTTTTTGCAGGGAGGGAGAGAGCAACTGTTAAAGTCAATCAACATAGCTTTATTTACTTATTGCCTCTAAACCAGTAAGGAGTGGCTGAATGGCACCCAGTAGATTAAAAATAGAGGAAAGAAAAGATGATCATTTGTTGCTTTAGAACCCAAAACTTTCTATATTAAACTTGCAGTGCTCTAGTAAATGTAAATCTTTAAGGACTTTTATCCCAGAGCGTAAATTTTTATATTATGAAATGCTATCATATCCCAAAGTATATGAAATAATACTACTATAATTGCTCATGGGAGCAATTTGAGACTTTACATTTAGGAACATAAGAAGGAATTTAGCAATTTTTTTTTTACACAATTGGTATTTATGCTGTAAATTGCACTGCTACTTTATTAAGTGAATACATTTAAATAGCAACCATTTTATGTACTATAGTTCAGAATATAACAACAGTTCATACAGCCTTGAATAGGCATAGCCCCCCAAATTAAAACAAGCCACCTTCTCCCTCCAAAAATCCAGTCCTATAGTAATAGTGGATCAGAAGCCATGGTACATTAAATGAATGGAACCACTAGCTAGTACAGTATTTTATAGTAACCCAAAACATGTTACTTAATTGAGATATAAACTAAGATAAGCATATTATATAGAGGATTATATCTTGGAAAACAATCCCACAGCAGAGTAGGTAGTTGTAGAACCACAAGAAACAGTAGGTCTGCTGCCAGAGTGCAGTTGTATCTGAAGAGAAAGCAATAACAATGGAGCTTCATCAGATGGTTTTTCCCCCCAATATCTTGAACGTATTGCAGTGGGTCTTCCAAATAAGACAGGAATCACAAGCAGCACAAAGGTGATACCCTCACTCAGTCAAGATCTCATCTCAGTGCTCAACAGTGCTTATTGAAGTTGATTGCAATTTTTCCATTTCCTTCAGCTGAGCTATGGTTAAGGTCCACTACTGTACCTGCCTGCAGTTTGACAGTCAACCACATGGTAGAGATAACCATGGGACATTCTTGTAACTAGGCAAGATGTTGTAAAGACTGCTTCCCCATTCAAAGCAGCATAAAGATTTGGGATGCCAGTCCTGAATGCGTTTCAGTGATGTCAAAGTATACCTCTTTCTTATGTAGCAGCATTAAAAAAAAAAAAAATAAAATAAAATAAAAAAATGCACCCACCTGAAAGAATGGGAACGGCTGCCCTGCAGGGAGACATAGTTTGCCCCTGAGGGGACACTGTAGGCTCTGAGGGCAAGTGAAGCTGTTTGGAGGCAGCCCTGTTGGAAGTAGGAGGGGTGACTTAACCCTAGCAAAGTTTTGAAATAGACCCGTTAGCAAAAGCCCGGGAAGGGCCCTGGCCTGGGATTGGCTGAGAGGCTTGGATAAAAGGGGGGAGCAGTTTTCCCGCTGTGGGGGAAACGAGAGAGAGAGAGGGGCTGAGGGACAGACTGGAGACCGGAGAGAGAGAGAGAGAGTCTCAGCACAGCGGTCCCTCGGAGAGCCCCTGGCAGAGCCCTGCAGAAGCAGCAGCAGAGGCTGCACCGGGAGTGATACAGCATCCAGTTCCTCTCTCGGGCCTGGAGCACTGCAGCAGCAGGACCAGAGAGACGGGAGCAGAGAGAGGCTGCTTGTGTGGAGACTCCGAGCCTGGGAAGACCTGCCTGCAGCCCGGTGTGGCTGGGTGAGCACAGCAGAGCCTGGGGGAGACTGCTGGAGACTGCCCTGTTTTCCCTGGTGGGTGAGGGGCCTTGGGGCAGGCAAGGCCCAGGGAGGGGCTGTGTTTTCCGGGGCTGTGAGGCTGTGTGGGGCAGGATAGCTGCTACAGCCTGCAGCCCAGACACTGCTCGCTGCTGAGCCAGGGAAGGGGGGTCAGAGGCAGGGGGAGGCTGCCTTGCAGGGACTGCTGAGGAGGAGCCACCGCCTGCTGCCTGGAGACCTCTGGAGCACAGAGAGGGACACCAGCACCAGAGAGCGCCCACAGACCCTGCGCAGGGACAAAGACAGTTCTGCTCCCTGAGACACCCTGCCAGGGGCAGTGCACACAGGATCCCTAGTACACCGTCTGCAAGTGAGAGACTGTGTAAATAAGTTCTTGAGGGTTTATTAGTTGGTATATCCATGTGTTTAATTTATTGGTTACTTGTTATGTTGTAAATAATTAATTCTTGTAAATAGTTTTATAACTGTCTGTGCGGGTGTTTGATTGTAAGGGGAGGCTCTCCACTCGGGGACCATGCAGCTGCTTCCCAGGGGGGCTGGGCAGGGCTACTGGTTACCAGGTACCCCAGGATCTCACTATTTAGGTGAGGGCACATGTAGTGTCATGTCCAGGGTTACACTTATTACACTGCATCCCATGCGAGTGAATAAGCTTCTTATGATAGTCCAAAATTCATCACCTCCAGCATGGATTATTGTAAGAGGCTGAAGAAGGAAACAATGAAGAGATGCCAATTTATGCAGAATATAGAATGCATGTTTTCAGTGGGAAGTGTCATCTTCAGCACATTGCCTATTGCCCTACATCCCCCTCTGGCTCACAATCTGCTTTTACTGCCAACTCAACGTATTGGGCCATCAGTGGACTAGGACCCATTCATTGTGTGACCCAAGGACAGTTGCACTTCCCCTTAGACAGTAGGCCCATGCAAATAGGGAAGTATTCGATTTGGAGGACAGTGGTTCGATTCAGAGATTTGATCACTGTCCTAAATCGATTTGGCTGAATCGGCTTCAGGAGATTCGGTGCAGATTTGGACAGATTTCGTGATTTGGATCGGCTGGGGAGAGCTGCAGGAGAAGCCCCCATGGCTGATCTGCCCGCCCCATCCACTGCCCCAGCCTCCCAGCACTTTAAAAAGACCCACACTCGCTGGCTGCAGGAGCGGCAATTGGGGCCTCTGGGAACTCGTGGCAGTCTCCTCCCCATACAGCAAGGGGCAGTGGGGATTGTGACTCCCATGCTTGGCACCCACGCAGCAGCTGCCCCATGGTACAGGAGCAGTGTGGCTCGGCACCGCAAGCTGCCTGGGAGCTGGGGCTGAGCGCTGCCAGGCTCCGGCTGACATGTGGAGTTGCCCCAGCTCCCAGGTGAATTGAACCAGGAGCTGGGGGAATGTTCAGGTACCGTAACACTCCCCCAGCTCGATTCCCCAGCTCCCCAATCTTTCCCACAGCTCTCTGATCACTTCCCCCAGCTCTTCCTGGGGGACATGGACCCCTGGATGATGCGGAATGACAGCAGGCTGTCACAGCCCGCTGGTGATGGTGGCTATTTCTCCAGGTGGCAGCAGCAGCCTGCTGAAACCCCACGTGCAGAGCTGGGGGAATGACCAGAGAGCTGGAAAATTGAACCGGGAGCTCTGGCTGACAGATGGAGGCACCCCAACTCTCAGGCAGTGCACAGTACCCTGCCAAACCACACTGCACCCATGCCATGGGGTAGCTACTGGGCGGGTGCCGGAGGTTGGGGGGCGACTCCCACTGTCCCCCACTGCCCCACGCTACACAGGGAGGCTCTGCCACAAGCACCCAGAGGCCCCAATCTCCACTCCTGCAGCCCATGAGTGTGGGGCTTTTTAAAGTGCCAGGACTAAGCTGGACTGGGTGGGGGATGGGGCCAGGCAGCGCAGCCATGGAAGTTTCTCCTGCAGCTCCTCTGGCTGTGCCTGCCTTTGTCCCAGCAGGAGGAGTCACTGAGAGCTCTGCCCTGCTGCCACTTGCTCAGCCACTGAGGAGGGGGTGCGATGCAGGATCGGCTTGCTCTGGGCAGCAGCAGGGCATAACCCCACTCCTAGTGCTGCCCTGCCTGCATCGGTGCTGGGAGCAGGGCTAGTGCTGACTCTTAGTGCTGTCCCGCTGCTGCTTGCCAGCCAGCACAGAGGGTGCAGGACGTGGGCTCAGCAGTGCTGGGAGTAGGGGCTCT